ATAAGAGGAAAATCTCTGCCTCCGAATCATCCCGATTTGGCTACTTCGTACAACAACATCGGTCTTGCGTATAGACAAATGGGTGACTACTCGAAAGCACTTGAATTTTACGACAAATCACTTAAAATACTCGAAAAATCTCTGCCTCCGGATCATCCCGATTTGGCTACTTCCTACAACAACATCGGTAACGTGTATAGAAACATGGGTAACTACTCGAAAGCACTTGAATTTTACGACAAAGCACTTAAAATCGACGAAAAATCTCTGCCTCTGAATCATCCCGATTTGGCTACTTCCTACAACAACATCGGTGGAGTGTATGACAGCATGGGTAACTACTCGAAAGCACTTGAATTTTACGGCAAATCACTTAAAATACTCGAAAAATCTCTGTCACCGAATCATCCCAATTTGGCTACTTCCTACAACAACATCGGTAACGTGTATAACAACATGGGTAACTACTCGAAAGCACTTGAATTTTACGACAAATCACTTAAAATAAGAGAAAAATCTCTGCCTCCGAATCATCCCAATTTGGCTAGTTCCTACAACAACATCGGTCTTGCGTATGACAGCATGGGTAACTACTCGAAAGCACTTGAATTTCACGAAAAATCACATAAAATAAAAGAAAAATCTCTGCCTCCGAATCATCCCGATTTGGCTACTTCCTACAACAACATCGGTTCAGTGTATGGCAACACGGGTAACTACTCGAAAGCACTTGAATTTTACGAAAAGGACTTAGAAATAACGAAAAAATCTCTGCCTCCGAATCATCCCGATTTGGCTACTTCCTACAACAACATCGGCATGGCTTATTCCGAACAAGGTGATTACCCAAAAGCACTTTCATATCTAGAAAAGGCACTTGCTATCCGACAAAAATCACTCCCGCCAACACATCCTCTTATTGAAACGACAATAGATAACATTGACATTGTGAAAAAGAAAATGTAACTGTGTTGTTTTTTCTTCTCGCTTACTCAATAAATTGATTTCAATTGCTATTCACCTCACTTCCTGGCTTTTCTCGGCTCATTTTCGCGTACGCGCGCGCGACCAGGGTGACCCCCTGTAAGCCCGCAATGGGTACACGCAGAGCGGACCACGCCG